GCTCCCTCCTCCCCCAGCTCTGAAACAGGTAGGTGCTCCCTCCTCCCTCTTTCCAAGCCTCAGTTTCCTACTTTGTCAAGCGGAAACAAATCTACATCACACTCTGCACCGTCTGAGCTCTAGCAGCAGCTCTTGGAGCTGGATCTGAGCATGTGCATGGACTGTACTTAGTGTCCTGGGGAACCTCATCCTCTGCCTGGGATGTACTGCCTCATTTCCCACCCCTTCTTGCCTTAAGAGGAGCTCTGAGCCTGGCCCTGGTGCTAGCCCTCTCTTGAGGCAGTGCTGCATGAGAAAGGTTTACTCTAATGGAAGAAACCGGTGGACAGGCCTATCCAGGTGGGGTGCTGATCCAGTGAACAGCACCCAAGCTGTGCCTGCTCATAATTCTCTCATTATGGAGCTAGCCTGGCTTTCCAGATACAACCCTGAACCACTCCTCAAATCACATGCCAGGTGGGGAGGGGGTTGTGGGGACGGGATGGGGAAGGTGATGATTCACTGCAGGCACTGGGCCCAGCCTTCAAAGATGCTTCCTTGGTGTCTGGTTGCCCTCTCTCTGTCTCAGGCGTAGAAAGGGAGCCTCAAGCTGGGTCACACGAAGCAATTACCGAAGGGGGTCTCTTCCCATCCTCTAGTCCTAGGTGCTTATCTGACCTGAAGGACAGACACAACACCAGGTCTCACCCTCTCAAATGAACTAAAATTGAACCATCCTGGGTTTCAGCCTGGGAGTGTTAGAGACCTGCTCTTAACTTTAAGAGACTGGCTTTCTGAGGCAACTGGCTTTAAGATATCTACACATTCCTAACCTCATACCCCTCTTCAAATGAGGGGTCCAGATACTTATTTTAGGGAGAAAGGTTGGAAGGAGAGAATTTACTAATAAAAGAATTAACAGCTTTTAAAAAAGCTGATCAAATACACTTGAGTTTGACCCTGATTTGTTTTATTTTGTTTTCCCCAGGACAGTGTTTGTCAATCTTTTCCCTGAGAGTAGAAATAGTGAAGGAGCCTGTGAACTTGCTTGCTAGAGTTCTGGGGCTGCTTCAGAGACAGGGCTAGAGGTTCTAGAATTGTAACACACAGCGTTTTGCTTTGCCTTGCTTGACTTGGGAGCTTTGTCTTGACTAGTTGGAACAACTGTCCCTGAGGTTGAAATTTTCTAGTTCAAATTTCAGAGAAAATAAACTTGCTTTGTGTGGTTAGAGCAGGAAAGAAGTCATCCCATTGGCTGAGGATATGAATGTGGGAGGGGCCTGGTCTCACTGCTCCTCTCCTCCAGCCCCTACTGTCACCCTCCTCCAGTACAATGGTAGCAGCGGGGTGCTTCTCTGTGTGGAAACTTGTGGGGTGCCTAAACTGGATCAGCTTGCTCTTCCTCATTGCTTTCCTTGACACTTCAATTTCTTTTTGTCCCTATCGAGTGGATTACATTTCTATAAATGTTTGAGATTTTTGTTTGCTTGAGGTTTTGTTTTGTTTCATATTTTTAAAAGTAGACTTTCTCCGCTTTCAGGAGCCTGGGCCTGGCCACTCAGTACATGTTGGAAGCTGCCTAGTAAAATCTTACCTTCTACTTACTCTTTGCTTTCATTCCTGGTTCTTGTAGGTTCTTGAAGAAAGGAAATCGTAACCATTTCACTTTTTAGTGTCTAGTATTGCAGAGGAAGTCAGTGTCTGATTCCCAGAGCAGAGCTGCTGGCAGGTGGTTGTGTTCCCTTCCTGCTGTCTGAGTAAGGGCAGGTGGCTGAGCACTGTCGGATCCTACTGTTAGGCTGATCCTTGTTTTAAAGAAGGACAGTAGTAGTTTTCTCTTTCTGATTTTGAAACTGGGGCCATACATACTACGTGGGCATTCTACCACTGAGCTACACCGCCAGACACTGGTGGGTTTAGTTTTGTTTTGTTTTTAAGTAAAAGAAACCTTTTCTAGTTTCCTAGGTATGCATATTGGGTCTCTGAAGTGGTACAGTTGAAGGAACCCAGAACTGAAGCTTATAGAATCAGACCTCTAAGTCACAGGAGTGGTTTGTTGCATAAGCGAGCAACAAAGGCCCGGAGACAGTAATACTATGCACATTGGAGTGGACTTTAGTCATTCACTGCCACATGCTTAGTAGTAAAAAGAAAGAAACCAGAAGTGACCAGTGGGTAGCTAAAATGCTTCTTAGTAATAAACTGGCAAGTAAAAAAAAAAAAAAAACATAGTCATTAGAAAGTCAAGGCCAACTGGGCGGTGGTGGCACACGCCTTTAATCCCAGCACTTGGGAGGCAGAGACAGGTAGATTTCTGAGTTTGAGGCCAGCCAGGGCTACACAGAGAAACCCTGTCTCCAAAAACCAAAAAAAAAAAAAAAAAGTTAGAAAGTCAAGGCCAGATGAGGTCCCTGGGCATCCTCTATTGTGCCCACCTTATTCCTTTGAGACAGGATCTCTCCCTGAACCTGGAGCTCACAGGCTTTTTCATTTTATTTTATGGGTTTTGTTTTTTTGTTTTTGGCTAGGCTGGCACCCAACAAGCCCCACCAATTCTGTACTCTTTGCTCTTCACCCTCAGCACTGGGGTTTCAGAGCCACACATGGGGATTCTAGGGATCCAAGGTCAGGGCCTCACGCTTGGGCAGGAAGCACTCTTACCCACCAAGCCGACTCCCAGCAGCTCTGTCTGGGTTTTGAAAGAATACATTGGTGTAGATTATTTCTGGAAGGATATGCATGCAACTTCACAATGATTGTGTCTAGGACAAGATCTAGAGAGCAGTGTTACTTTTCAGTGTTTGTCCCTTCATATTATTTACAGTTTTGCCATATGCCCATGTTTTTGTTCTCTGCGTGTGTATGTTTATGTGCTGTGTGCATTTGTGCTATGTACACACATGTAGAGACAGGGATCCATGTTAGCTGTCTTCCTTGGTTGCAGTCCACTCTTTTTTTTGTTTTTGTTTTTTCGAGACAGGGTTTCTCTGTGTAGCCCTGGCTGTCCTGGAACTCACTCTGTAGACCAGGCTAGCCTCGAACTCTCGAACTCAGAAATCCACCTGCCTCTGCCTCCCAAGTGCTGGGATTAAAGGCGTGCGCCACCACCGCCCCGCCCAGTCCACTCTATTTTTTTGAAACTTGCTCTTACACTGAACTTGGAGTTCAATGATTCATCTAAACTGACTAGTGAGCTCCAGAGATCTGTCTGTCTTTGTCTCCCTCCCCAATGGTAAGATTGTAGACATGATCTGCCATGCCCTATGCTGGTGATCTGAACTCAGATCCTCACACTTGCATGCAAGTGTGACTTTCCTGACTGACCCATCTTCCAGTCCCCACATTATGTTTTTAGTCTTAAAGTTTATTAAGACCATGCCACTAGAGAGATGGTGTGCTGCTCTTGGAGAGCACCCAAGTTCTGTTCTCAGCACCCAGGTCAGGTGATTCACAATACCTGTGACTCCAGCATCTAGGGATCCAGTATCCTCTTCTGAACTCTGTAGGCACCTGCACATGGTACTTTCTCCCACACAAAAGAACTCCTATGTACATAGTCAGAAATATAAAATAAGGCTTCAAAAATGTTAAGAATAAAGAAGTGCTTTGATATAAAATGTAACCTTCAAAAAAAAGTTTAGAAATGGGATATAGTGAGAGCATAGCACCAAAACTCAGTCAAGGATACTTCTTTCTTAGCCCAGTTTTTAGGGTACTCTGAGGTTGTGGTTATCAGATCAGTAATACTGAGAAGGCCCTCTCTCTGTGGCCTCCTTTCCAGATAGTCTTTTCAGAATGCCTCATCCTTCTGCCCTGTCTTCACACATACCAAGGTCATCCCTACCTGAGTTCCTTTGCTTTCTGTGCCTGTGATTGCGTCTCTTCCTCCAGATAGCCTCAGGGGATGCTTTGCCCTCTCCAGGTTTTACTTGGGTGTCACTTTATCAAGAGCTCCCAAAGCTCCCTCTTCAAAAGCAATAAGAAAGTGTCTCAGGACAAGGCTCCAGTAACCAAGTGTCATGGATCCAGTGACTTAACAACAACAAAAAAGCTTAACCTGCCATTTGTGGAGCTGAGAAGTCCAAAACAAAGATTCCAACCCTGGGGCTGTATAGCTGTAAGTAGGAGGTACTCTTGCAGAGGACCTAAGCTTGGTTCCCAACACCCCTGTCAGGCCTCGCAACTTCCTGTAACTCCAGACCACTAGGATTCAACACCTCTAGCCTCCTTGGGCTCTCATGTGCATAAACCCACCCCAAAACACAAAGATCATTAAAAAAAAGATCTTAAAAAACATAAAAATTTTCTAGTCCTAATTATGTACAGAGAGAAAGATAACCACACTTCTCATTTCCAGCCTGTCTCTTCATATAAGGGTGCTGATCTGCAGGAGCAGTGTTAGCTGCTGAGCCATCTCTCCATCTCTTTCTTCTTGTGAGGGTACTTAATCCCATTCAGGAGAGTAGAGCCCTCGCAGACTTCAGCTCTAAATACCAGCACATTTCCAGATCAGAAGTTGTACATGTAAATTTGGCAGAGTGTCACAAACCTTCAGTTCACACACTGCCATGGCCAGGCTCCTTCTGTAGCTTCCTTGATTTTCCTTTGTACTGCTTCTTGTGTCATGCAACAATCTGTTCGCAAAAATCACACAATTTTATGTGTATGATTTTTTTCTTTGTTTTGTTTTATTTTTTATCTTGATGGTGTGTGTGCATGCATGTCATTTTTCAAAGCATTTTGGCTTTATTTGTATTGTGTATGCAGGCATACATGTGTGTGTGGGTATACATGCATGTGCATGCACATGTGAAGGCCAGAGCACACTTCTGGTGCTGTCCTTTCTGGCATGTCTTTACTTTTTTTTTTACTTTTTAGATTGGTTGGCCTAGAATCAATGTAGACAGGCAGGCTTTGAACTGAGGAAGCGGCTTGTAGCTGCCCCCTAAGTGCTAGAATTAAAGATACGGGCAACCACATTCATGCCTTCCACCTTACTTCTTGAGATAGGATCTCTCACTGGCTTGAGGCTCACATATTGGATTATGCTAGCTGCTTTCACATTTCCAGAGCTGAAATTATAAGTGCATGCCACCATACATTGCTTTTAAAATTTATCTTCAGCAAATTGAAGTCAGGTCTTCATGCTTTTGCCTATATTCCTAGATCCTAGAACCGAACCTGACGCATAGAAATGGTCAGAGGCTTAATAAGTGTATGAACAGTAGAAGCCTTTCAACTTTGTATCTAATTTGTATCTTTTTTTCAGAATTTTGCTTATCTCTTTTTTTTTAATTTTTTTTAAATGTTAATCAAAGGCTTTATAAGTTTGGTAATGCTCAAGAACAAGATGCTCATACAATCAGAAGTGTAACCCAATACTCAACCTAGATATACCAACTATCTTTGATTGATGGAGACATGTGAACATCCGCCTCCCCCCCATCTCCTAGCTCCTCCTCCTCTCCTTCCTCTTCCTCTTCCTCTCCTTACTCCTCCCACCATAGCTCCTCCTACATATCACCCTTCCAGATAGGATAAAACTTTTCTCTCAAAATACAATTAGAGCATAAATATACCAATTTGTATCAGTAAGGTACAAGATAGACCTAATACCCAGTCCATCATTTTGTTGACTAAAGAGAACCTCTGTCATCTCTCCTAACTTAAAGACTTAGGCTGGGCAGTGGTGGCACACGCCTTTAATCCCAGCACTTGGGAGGCAGAGGCAGGTGGATTTCTGAGTTTGAGGCCAGCCTGGTCTACAGAGTGAGTTCCAGGACAGCCAGGGCTACACAGAGAAACCCTGTCTCGAAAAACCAAAAAAAAAAGAAAAAAAAGACTTAGTTCTTTTTTTGTTTGTTTTTTTGTTTTGTTTTGGTTTTTGTTTTTCGAGACAGGGTTTCTCTGTGTAGCCCTGGCTGTCCTGGAACTCACTCTGTAGACCAGGCTGGCCTCAAACTCAGAAATCCACCTGCCTCTGCCTCCCAAGTGCTGGGATTAAAGGCGTGCGCCACCACTGCCCGGCTCTGATTACTCTGTCTTGGCAGATATAATCAGTCGACTATTCTGCAAGTGTGTCCTTTTCAGGACAGTAGTTTGTCTGTAGATGAAAAGAGGCAATTCTTGCCTAGTGGCTGTCTCACCACAACTGGAGTAACTCCAAAGATGTTCAATTTCTTCTTAAAATCCAAGACAGGAAGCTGTTAGGAGCAGACAGGTCTCTAATCAAAATAAACCTTAATGCAGAAATGTTTGTAACATCAATTCTGTGGACTTCTGACGTTTTGAAAACCAACTATCCATGTAAGGCAATCTGGACTATTGCCTCTTAGCTCCTCTCAGCTATTTCTAAATAAAATATAGAAAACACCCTAACAATAAACTCAGAGCCATGAATTTGCTATAGGCCCTTAACTCACAGGCTAACCAACTCAAATCAGTTAAAAAAGTTAAAGAAGGACTGGGCCTAAAGCCTTGTATTCCTAAATATGTTATATAGGCACAATGCCTATGAGAGTAACAATATTAATCTCACTTTTATATCAATAAGAAACTCGTACCAATGAAGACCTTAAATTTGAAATCAAAGTAAAATTTTGTACCATTTAAGAAACTATAACTTCAGCTTAATAACAATTATACAGATTTCTACCAATACTTTATGACTATGTAGTAAATCTTAGCTATTCCTCCCTGTTCCAACAAAACCACTACTTTTCCCTAGAAAGACAGCCCAATATTAACCACCTCAGTCCACAAGCCCAGGGAATAGGGGTGCTGATTCTTCAATAACTTCTTCAAGCTGATTACGGGCATTGAGATATTAGAAGAGAGGTGGGGGGAAGAGTAAATTGATAAGCCTCTGATGTCTGTGTCTTCACTGCATTCAGCTGAGATTCCAGGACATCAGAGGATCGAGCAGGTCTGCTCAGCTTGCTAGATGAATAGATACACCAAGGCTGGGTATTCTGCAATATACAATTCTCTCTCTCTCTCTCTCTCTCTCTCTCTATATATATATATATA